ATGTTGAGGGGAGAACAGTTAACAAATCTTTGAATTCAGACCTGAGGGGCATTCATATGGTTAACACAGGCAACAGAGGCCCTGGTTTAGGGTCAGACCAGAGAAAAAAGGATGGGAACAAATGAATAAATGTTTGGCTTATAGGTTAGTCAAGAGGGGAATAGGTTAGCACATGCACCTTGGGAGTGTGAGGCAGGATGATCACAAGTTCAAGCCTAGACTGGACAATTTAGCAATTTAGCAAGACCTTGTATCAAAATTTAAAAAAGAAATTTTAAGGGCGGGGGATAGCCCAGTGTGATGGTGCGTGCCTATAATCCCAGCACTGAGGGAGGCTAAGGGAAGAGAGTTGCAAGTTTGAGTCCCACCTGGGCAGTTTAGTAAGACCCTGTCTAAAAATAAAAAGTAAGGGCCAGGGATTTAGCTCAGTGGCAAAGTGGCTGCCTCACAAGTTCAAGGTCCGGAGTTTGATCCCCAGTATCACACACACACACACAAAAATTCATAAAAATAGAAAGTAAAAACAACTGGTTTGTAGCTCAGTGGTAGAGCACCCATGGGTTTGATCCGTAGCACCATCAAACAAACAAACAAACACCAAGATAAAAAAGCTGGGGATAGGGGCTGGGGATTTAGCTCAGTGGTGCCGCCGCCTGCCTCGAAAGAGCAAGGTCCTGAGTTCGATCCCCAGTACTAAAAAAAACCAACAATAACAAAAAGCTGAGGACATAGCTCGGCGCAAAGGCCCAGGGTTCAGTCTAGTACTGAATTTAGTACTATTTCAATCCCTAGTACTAAAAAAAAAAAAAGGAATAAATTCTGGAATATTTAACAGAGCCTGAGGTTCATGTTCAGACTCTGGGGGCACAGACGTTGGAAGCAATAACAACTGCACAAGTTCAACAACAGACCTTGAAGACACTCGTGAGGGGCAATTGTCAGAGAATCCAACTGAAGGCCAAACCAGAAGGGGTTGATGGGTACACAATATTTAATAGAGGACTGGGTTTGTGGTCAGGCCTGGAGTGGAGGGATTTCATAATAAATTGCTGGGTTAGCTAACTAGACCAGTGGTTCTTTTAATGTGGAAGAGTAAACAAATCTTGGTTAAGAATCAGAAAGACCAGGGCCAGGGATTTAGCTCAGTGGTTACGCTGCCTGTCACGAAAGCACAAGGACCCCAGTACCAAAAAAAAAATCAGAAAGACCAGAGCACAAAGATAGTCCAAGAACTTGGATTAGGGACCAGGATGACACTGAGGGTGAAATGCCTTTCAGAGAACCCCATTATGAGAACAGACCAAAAGGATGCTATCATGATTAATAGTGGATCAAGACTGAGGTCAGACCAATGAGGTCAGGCCTAGGTTCAGCAGGGCATGACAGGGCATGGCAGTGCATGCCTGTAATTCCAGCACTCTGGGAGGCTGAGGCAGGACTGCCAAGTGAGAGCCCAGCCTGGAGAACCTGGTAACTTAGCGAGACCATCTCAAATTTTAACAAAGGGCCAGGGATTTAGCTCAGTGGTGCCGCTGCCTGCCTGGCAAGCGGACGGTCCAGAGTTCGATCCCTGGTACCAAAAAAAAAGGGGATGGGAGAGTAGCTTAGTGCAAAGTCCTTGGGTTCCATACCCAGTACTGAAAAAAAAGGCTTCAAAGTAGAAGCTCAGGTAGGACCAGCATGGCATTCTTAGGTGAAGAATTAATAGAAATCTGGGTTTGATTTCAGGCCAGAAGGCCTTTAAGTTCGATTGTTGAAGGAGGCCTAGGCTTAAGGTCATGCCATGAAAGCAGTGATGGTGATGAGGGAACAGAAACCCTTGGTTTTTTTTTGTTTGTTTTTGTTTTTTTGGTACTGGGGATGGAACTTGGGTCCTTGCACTTGCGCAGCAGGCAGCGGAACCACTGAGCCAAATGCCCGGCCAAAACCCTTGTTTTTAAAACCAAACTAGAAGGGCACTGAGAGGACAAAGCAGAGAGGTGGAGGTCTTGGAATAGTTCAAAATCAGATCCAAGAACCTTGGTGTTGGAAGCTGGCAAAAGTCACGGTCAGACCCAAGGGTCAGTGATGCTGGGACAGTTTAGAGAGGACCAGGCTTGCCGGGTGTGGTGGTGGATGCCTGTACTCGGAGCACTTGGGAGGCTGAGGCAGGAAGATTGCTGTGAGTTCAAGGCCAGCCTAAACTACACAGGGAGACTGTCTCAAAAAAACAAAAAACAAAAGCAAACAAAAAAGGGCCAGGTTTGAGGTCAGGGCAGAGGGCACCACTGGTGGAAGAGCTACCCAAAGCTCTGGGTTTTCATTGGGTGAGGGCTCTGTCATGCTGAACTTGTTAAGAGATGCCTGTGTAGGCTGGGGATTTAGCTCAGTGGCACAGTGCCTGCCTCAAAAGCACAACGTCCTGAGTTCGATCTGGTAACAACAACAACAACAAAAAGATGCCTGTGTGAGAGCTCAGAGCTAGCAATCTCTGGATTCAGAGTCTGACCAGAGATGCCTTGAGGGTTCCAGAGTTCAAAAAGGCTGAGTCAGAGTAGAGGGCCAGTGGTGGTGGGATATTAACAAGAAGCCCAGAATTATGGTTGGACCAAAGAATTTCAGCCCAGACTTAAGTTGCAAATGAGAACAGTTAAGTACTGATGGTGGACTAGTTTGCAGATGTTCAAGTTCAAGGTGAGAATGGGGGATTTAATCATGGAACAGTTAATAGGCACATGGATCGGAGGCCTGTCTAGAGGGAATTGCTGTAAGTATAACCAGTGCCCAAGGTTCAAAATCAGATCAGAGCTGGGTGTGGTGGCACGCCTGCAATCCCAGCACTTGGGAGGCTGAGGCAGGAGGACTGTCACAAGTTTAAGGCTAACCTGGACTACATGGCAAGACCTTGTCTCAAAAAAAAAAAAAGAAGATCAGAAGCTGGGTATGGTGGTACATCCCTTTAATCCCAGGTACTCAGAAGGCTGAAGCAGGAGGATCCCAAATTTGAGGCCAGTTTGGGCAATTTAGCAAGACCCTGTCTCAAAATTATTGACTGATTGAGACAGGCTCACTATGTTGTTCAGGCTGGCCTTGAACTCACAACAGTCATCTTGTCTCAATTTTAAAAAGGGTAGGGATGTATCTCAGTAGCAGAGCACATGCCTGAGATGTGCAAGGTCCTGGGTTCAATCCCCAGTACAACCTCCCCACCCCCAAAGTCAGATCAGAGCAGGATTTATAGGGGAATAGTAAACAGGCCAGGGTTTAAGGTAAGATCAGAGGGGTGTAACTGTGCACTAGTTTACTGAGGTCTGGCCAGATAAGTGCTGAGTCAACAAGGCTGGGAGTGGTGGTGCATGCCTGTAATCTCAGTATTCAGGAGGCTGAGGCAGGGGGTGACCATAAATTCAAGGCCAGCCTGAACTATGTAGTGAGAGTCTGCCTCAAAAATACTGCAAAAAGGGGCCGGGGATTTAGCTCAGTGGTTTGGGTGCCTGCCTCGCAAGTGCAAGGTGCCAAGTTCGATCCCTAGTACCAAAAGTGAAAAAAAAATCTGAAAAAATAAGAAAGAAAAGTCAACAAAGGCTCAAACTCAGGTTTCAGATCTGTAAAGCATCAATCATGAGTTAACTGAGGCCTGGATTCAAGGGTCTGGCAGAGTTATTGATGGTGGGATTGTAAATAGAGTCCCATGACACTGATGAAGAGTTGAAAAGACTCATGTTTAAAGTAAAGCTAGGGGTCCTGTGAATCATTAGCAGAGGCCTAGGTTTGAGGATAGACCAGATGGACACTGGGGATGATAGGTTTGAGTGCCTGGGCTTGAGGTCATATTAGACAGGCACTGGTATAGGAAACAGTAAGGAATACTCAAGGCTGTTCGAGATTTTGGGGCCTAGAATCCCAGCTACTCTGAAGGCTGAGGAAGGACTGCCAGGTCAAGACCAGCCTACGAAACTTAGTGAGACCTTGTCTCAAATAAAAAATACTAGGGGGCCGGGGATTTAGCTCAGTGGTTTCACTGCCTGCTGTGCAAGCCCAAGGACCCGAGTTCCATCCCAGGTACCAAAAAAAAAAAAAAACTAGGGATGTAGCTTCATGGTAGAGTGCCCTGGATTTGAGCCCTAGCACACCCCTCAAAAAAAAAAAAAAAAAAAAAAAAAAAAAAAAAAGAAAAGAAATGCCCTGGGGCTGGAGATTATAGCTCAGTATTGGAGTGCTTGCCTAGCATTCGAAAGGCTCTGGGTTTGTTCCCAGCACCAAAAAACAAAGAAATGCCCAGACTTCAGGTGAAAGAGACAGCAATGGCAGAATAGTTAACAGAGGCCTGGGCTTAAAGTTTGGACCACATAAATACCCAAAGTCCAACTGTTAATATAGGGGTGTAGGTTGGAATTGACCCCATAAGGGTATTGATGGTGAAATAATAGAGGCCCAGATGCAAAGTCAGGATTAAGGATCCTCAGGGAAAAAGGGCATTGGGCCGGGGATTTAGCTCAGTGGTTCAGCTGCCTGCCTCGAAATCGAAAGGTCCCGAATTCGATCCCCAGTACCAAAAAAGAAAAAAAAAAAAAAAGGGCATTGATCGCAAAATAATTAGAAGAAGCCCAGGTTCAAGTTTGGATGAGAAGATAGTCAATGGCAGAAATTCTGGCTTGAGGTTTGGCTGGAGAGACACTGGCAGAATAAAAATTAACAAAGGCCCAGCTTCAGGCTCGGAGCAGAGAAGTTCCCTGAAGGTGAAGTAATTAAATACATTCAGGTGCAGGGCCGGGATTTAGCTCAGTGGTGCCACCGCCTGCCTCGCAATCGAAAGGTCCCAAGTTCGATTCCCGGTACCAAAAAACCCCCCAAAACAAAAAACACTCAGGTGCAAAGCCAGACAAATGGCATGAGTCAGCTCATGGAGGCCTGGCTCTGAGGAAAGAGCAGGGTGGCTCTAATGGTGGGATGGTTAACAGAGCTCCAGATCTCATGTCACACAGGCTTAGGGATGATGGACAAGTTCACAGAGGCCCAAGTCTGACCAAGAACATTATTTTTTATTCTTTATTATTTGCTCAGTATTTATTTCCCCTTAGGGTGTAAGTCAAGAAAAGTATCACCAAGATGAACTTAAAGTAGAATGTCAACTCCACCACCTCAACAATTTCACAAGGAGGAAACCCCCAAATCATGCACAATAATAATCATGACTAATCATCCTGAATCCAGACTCCATAATGGACATGAAGAGTGAAAAAAAGAAGTTAGAGAAAACAGGTCCCCCAAACTACCTTGCTGTCCACAGACCTTGGCTGAAACCAAGCACCTGGTTGGCCTTGCAAACTGCGCAGAGCAGCACACAGCAGGCCCGAGCAGCTGTCCTCAAAAGGTGGCTTTGAGCTTGGCCTTGGTTGGTGTCTAGGAACTGACATTTCAGGGTGTACCCACTGTTCTCCAGGGTAATAATGGCTCACTCTGCCTAAGCTGTTTGCACAAGGGATAAACTGTGGCTTATGCGCAATACTTGCTTTCCTTCTGAGGCTTGGGAACCTGGTTATATGCTAGGCATGACCAGTGCAATAAGAACCCTGGGCGTAGAGTCTCTGATGAGCTTCCCTGGTTGGCAGCATGTCATATGTGTTGTCATAACCTGTGATGGGGAATTGAGCACACTGCTAGAGGACCCTCAGGAACCTGTGCCAGTCTCCCCTGACCTGGCCCAGTGTACCATTTTCCTTTGCTGACGTGGCTCTGGAGCTTTCTGCTGTAACCAATCACAGGCATGAATACCACCATATGCTGGGTCTTGTGTGTCTTCCTAGCCAATCACTGAGCCTGCAGCTACATATGTGACCTTGATCACGTGAACAACCCAGCTCATGGATACCCTTATTGCATAGCACTTACCCTAAGGTCTGTCAGATTGAAGTGCCAGTCAGAAATGCTTTAGGCTGCAAGTAACCATACCATCAAATAACAGCACCCTCAGGCAATAGCAGATGATTTTCCTCCTCGAACCAGGCTGCTGGTGTCACCCCACCTCTTGTGGTAACACTGGGCCATCAGGCTGGAATCTTTGTGACTCTGTGGGCCTGCCCTGAGGTCCCAAGATGTTAGCCACGGTTCAAATTCATGTGTATGCCCTAACATGTGGAGCTGGAGGGGGAGCAGCTGGAGCAAGAGCCCCTTTGACATTGCCCGGTGACTCCTGCCACTGACAAGGATTTGGGTAATTAACCCCCGTCAGCATCCATCCAAGCAGTCTCTCCTTGCTCAGGGCTCCATATCAAACCTCACTTTTTGGTCTCTGAGCTGTCCCAAGGTTTGTATTTGGGACCTGAGTGGGCATGGGAGGAGATCGGGTGGTCTGGAAGATTTCCTGTTGCCTCCATCTCACAGCAGGAGCCCCTAGCTCAGTCTTAGGACCCATGGTTGCCCCTACACTGGCTGGGTGCTCCGAGAATTCAACACCTGCCTGGTGTAGTGGTGAACACCTGTAATTATGGCACTCAGGAGACTGAGGCAGAAGGATTGTGAGTTTGAGCCCATCCTGGGCCACATAGTGAATTCAAGGCCAAACTGGGCTACACAGCAAGACCCTGTTCTCAAAAAACTAAAAACCAAACAAGCAAAAACAAAACACCTCTGCTCCCTGCTGTGGGAAAGAAAGAATCCATTGCAGACGCGTGGGGCTCACCAGGCAAGGGCTGCTGAGTCTCAGCCCTCATGAGGAGCTGGCTTTTGAAAACCCTAGAGCGGAGTCAAATATTCTTTACTCGACTCTTCCACTGCCGCCAGACCACATCCTTCTTCTGGTTAAAATCACTCTGTGGCTTTTCCCTCATTCAGGAAAGAGGCCAGAGTCCTCACTGTGGTCCACGAAGCCCTGTAGCATCTGGCCTGTCTGACTTCATGGACTACTGTGCCCTGCCCCAACCACACTCCGGCCTGTACAATTACCTGCTGGCCTTGGTGCTGGGCTTTCTCTGCTGAGTGTTCTCCTCCCACACACTATGGCTCCCTCTGTTTCATACAGGTCTCTGTTCCATCAGGAAAGTCTTCCCTAATGACATCACCAAGAAAGCCCAGCGCCACTCTTGCACCTCTTTCTCCCTTCACACCATCTGGCTTTAGCTGAATTATTATGTATAGATCCTTCTTGACTTAATGATGGCCCTATGTCCTGATAAGCCCATCATAAGTTGAAAATATCCTACATCAAGCTGGGTGTGGTGGCGCATGTCTATAATTCCAGCACTCTGGAGGCTGAGGCAGGAGGACTGCCTTGATTTTGAGGCCAGCCTGGGCTACACAGTGAGTTCAAGGCCAGCCTGAATTACAGAGCGAGACCCTGTCTCAAAAAAAAAAAATAAAAAAAAACAACACCCAAAAGAAAATGAAAATGTCCTACATCACAATGAACTGACTACGAGCCGGGGATTTAGCTCAGTGGTGCCGCTGCCTGCCCCGCAAGTGCAAGGACCTGAGTTCGATCCCCGGTACCAAAAAAAATAAAATGAACTGACTACTCCTAACCTAAGTACAACTCAGCCAACACAAAGCCTGCGGTATAATGCAGTGCTAACTATTGATACTGTACTGAAAGTGGAACCAGACTGGCTATATGAGTACACTTGTGCACCACTGGAAAGTAAAAACCTTGGAAAGTTGAAAAATCATAAGTTGAAACACAGTAAGTCAGGGACCGGCTGTGTTTCTGCCTATGGCCTCCTTGCCTCCCCTGGGATGCATGGCTGTGAGGGCAGGGATTTCTGTCAGTCTAGGTCACAGCAGTGTTCCCAGCACCTAGCACAGCTCCTGGCACACAGCTGGTGCTCGATACTGTCTGCCCACCAGCAGCCTGGTGGTGTAACCACGGTGACACAGCAGACATTCAGTAAGCACTGGCTGGATGAACGAGTGGAAGACCTGTTCTGCTGGGGCGGGGAGCTGGCCCCTCCCCCATGCTACCTCCTGGCTGACCTGGGAGCTGGGCCTCAGCACAACCACAGGAACTTTATTTACAACACAAGGCTGGGGCAGAGTGGGGGTGGAACAGGACAGCACAGGGCTGGCATGACCCTACTTTTGCTCCCGCCTCCAGACGATGACCATGCCACTGGCGTCACTGGAGGCCAGCAGGCTTTCGTCACAGTTGAAGCTGACGTCAAGCACGGGTGCACTGTGGCCCTGCAGCTTGTTGACAGCAGCCTTGGCCGCTCGCTCCACATCAAAGAAGTGCACACACATGTCCTCACTGCCTGTCACTGTCCAGGGAGAGACAGAGAGAGCCTATAAGGAGGGGCCTGGTCCCTAGCTGGGAGCTCACATGGCCACTCTGGTTCCATGTGCAAAGTGAGAGGTCTCTGGGGTGGTAGGGGTCTGTGTTCGAGGTATTTGGAGGGCATGAGCAGTCACCCAGAAGTCACGGCATCGGGTGTCATGAGGTCTGACCCTAACCCTCCCCAGCCTCCCAGGGTCCTGACCCCCCAGGACTCACCCACACAGGCCCCCTGGCGGAAGGACATGAGGGGGCAGAAGATGCTGCGCACAGGGTGTGAGCTCTGCTCAATGGGGAAGCTTCTCTTCAGCTGTAGGGTCCCCTCGTTATCCACCACCCTGAGGAAAGGTCCAAAGAGTGGGTCAGGGCACAGCCTCAGCCCCAGGAGGGATGGCAGTGGTGGGCCAGTCTGCATTCCCACCCCTGCGTCTGAGTTCTTTCCATGGTTCCTAAAATCCAGTTTTTTGGGGTTTTTTTTTTGCGGTACTGGGGATGGAACTCAGGACCTTGTGCTTTTGAGGCAGGCAAGGTGCCACTGAGCTAAATCCTCAGCCCTGTTTTTTGTTTTGATATAGGGTCTCACTCTGTTGCCCAGGATGGCCCCAAACTCCTGGGCTCAAGTGATCCTCCTGCTTCAGCCTCCCAAGTAGATGGGTCTACAGGCACACACTACTGTGGCCAGCTGAAATCCAGTGCTGAGATGATGACATGCACCTCTCAGTAGGAGCTGCTGTGCAAGTTTGTGACAGCCTGGACAGCCTGGACACTGTGACAGCCTGGACACAAACGGGAGCCTCTGCAAAGTCATTCACTCCTTTTTCATTCTCAGAATCTCAACCATCCTGGCATCAAGACAGGCACACAGAGAGGAGATGGCTGTACAACCAGTCTGTCCACCCTGAGAAAGCTGCACAGCCACTAAAGAGAATGAACTACAGCTATTGTGGGTGACTGGGGGATCCCTGAAGTGTCTTCTGGGGAGAAAAGTGAGGTGTGGGTGAGATGCATGAGGCCCCTTTCTAGAGTGCGCCCTTCCCTCAACAGGAAGGACATAGCCCAAGGGAGGGGGAGGGCTGAGGTGGGGAGGGCTGAGGAGCAGGGATGATGATGCGCAGGCCTGGGGAGGCCGAGGCAGGAAAAGCATGAGTTTCAGCCCAGCCTGGACTACCATAGCAAGGCCCTGTCTCAAAACAACAAACAACTCAAGCAAACAAAAGAAAATGAAAAAAATCTTAAACATGTACTTGAAGTAAGAATTTAGAGGGCCAGGGATTTAACTCAGTGGTGCTTCCGCCTGCCGTGCAACTACAAGGTCCTGAATTTGATCCCTGATACCAAAATTAAAAAAAAAAGAATTTAGAAAGTATGTATCTACATAGAAATTTTTTAAAGTAGGAAAAAAACCCAGGACAATAAAAAACATCTTGTTGGGGCATGGTCTTCAGGCCAGGCTGGATGTTGCTTAAGGCATTTTTCAACATATGAAGCCCAGGGCCACTCCAGAGCTTCTGAAGCCACCAGCCTGGAGGAGGCCTGGGTGTGACTTTTTGAAGCTTTTCAGGTCATTTCAAGGCATAGTCCAGGCTGAGAGCTGCATTTGCATAACATGATGGGGGTAAGCAAGGAGACTGAATCCTCCCTTCAAAACTTTTTTTAAAAGAATAAGGGCTGGGAACCAGACATTATGCCTGTAAACCATTATGCCCATAAACTAAGCACTCAGGAGGCTGAGGCATGAGGATTCCAAGTCTGCTGCCAGCTTGGTAAAGTTACATAGAGTTCATGACAGTGAGATCCTGTCTCTAACAAACAAACAAAGGGGATGTAGCTCCGTAGATAGAGCATATGCTGCATGCTCACGGCCCTGGGTTCAATACTCAGCACTACAACTAAATAAATGAAGAGCCAGGACTTAGCTTAGTAGTCACCAAAAAAATAAATGAAGAAACAAAACAGGCTTCTGCTACAAGGAGACCATGGCTTTTTTTTTAATAGTTCTGGCCATCAAACCCAGGGCCTTGCAATGCTAGGCAAGCACTCTACCACTGAGCCACACCCCAGCCCAAGACCTTGGTCTGCTTAACTGTAAAATGGAAATAACAACAGTACCTACATCACAGGTTGGTATGAGGACTAAACAAGGTGACACACAGAAAGTGATCTGAACAGGGCCTGTCCACAGCACGCCAACTGCTGTACAGGTACTCGCTGGCACTGTCATTCTTATTGCTGCTACTGGCCTTAGTGCCATCACCTTGGGGCATTACTGTTGTTATTATTATTATTAGTTGCAATACTAGGGGTGGATCCTGGGCCTTGCACATGATAGGCAAGACTGAATTACATCTCTAGTCTCATCATCATCCTACTATTGGAGACAGGCTCTTGGACCAGCCTGGCGGAGGAGGCAGCCCTCCCTCCCCGGGTGGGCGGCAGTGATGGCAAGGGCTCACCTGTAGAGGAGCAGCTTGTTGAGGCAAGCATTGATGAGCAGCGAGGGGTCCCGAGCCTCGCGACTAACCCAAGAGCGGGCAGAGATGCTGGTCACCGGGCTGCCTTCATGCACCACCAGCCGCTTGGCTTTGGTCAGCTTCCCTGTGGCAGTGGAAGGCAGAGGTGAGCATGAGGCCTGAACCCTGGGATAGAGGGACATCACCTATATGCAGGGCTGTGGCCTGCCTACCTGTGGCCATGTCGAAGAGGAAGGAGAAGACACTCCCACGGTCATCGCCTGCCCAGAGCAGCCGGCCAGGGGCATCGAAAGACAGAGCCAGGACACGGCCCGTCAGCTTGCTGGAGCCACCCTTCACTTTCTTACCAGTGGAGATGTTCATGACGTGCACGTTGTGCTTGGCATTCCCCACCTGCAGGGAGAATGCGTGCACCCTCATCCTACACCCAGCTAATTCCTTCTGGAGTCTGACCATGGTCGGGCTGCGACAGGGGGAGAGATGACCAAAGGCATCTACCTTGCTCCCTAGCCAGCCCCTCTTATAATCTGCCCAAAGTAGGACAGCTGCTCCCAGGAAAAAAGAGGTCTCAGAGCCATGTCACCCACCCCTTGGCCAACCTGAAAACCACTGTACAATCCCCATGATAACCGAACGGCTTTTCCTACACCCTGACAACTCCTTTGTGGAGACTCTGAGGCTGCTGCCCTGAACGGAGAAAGGTGCTGAGCTCTAGCTCATGCTCAGCCAGCTTCCAGCCCAGACTTTCCATGGTCTTCCCTGCCCTATGATCAGTCTATCTTGGAGTGTGATCATGGTGGGACTGCCACTAACAGATGGACGAGCTTGCAGTCTCATTATCTTGCTTCCCAGCAGCAGCCCCTGCAGGTGGACAACTGTAGGACTCTGGCTGATGGGACCAAAGGGGTCCCAGAGCCATGACCCCAGCCCCAGTCTGGCCCCTCTGAGTCTACCCAGCAAAGCCATTGAAGACCATGCACTACGCTGTCTCCCCCCTTCTCTGGACTCCTTCCCTTTGAGACCAACACCAGCAAGACTACTATGAAGGGGGATGGGGATTTAGCTCAGTGGTTCCGCCACCTGCCTCGCAAGCGCAAGGTCCTGAGTTTGATCCCCAGAACCAAAAAAAAAAAAAAAAGAAAAAAAAGACTACTATGAAGGGACTGGAGGGTCCTAGGCCTTATACCCAGTGCCCTCCCACAGCCCTCAAGCCCCATGGTGAGTGGGCGCCCTGGAGCCTGACCACAGTGAGGTTGTTGTTGATGGGCTGGAAGGTGCAGCAGAGCAGCTCGGCGCTATCAGGGTCAGGGATCTCCCGGATGCAGCGGCCGTCCTCAGAGGCCCAGATGCGCATGGTAGCATCCAGTGAGGTGGACACAAGGATGTCATTGGAGAGGGACCAAGCGAAGTCGGAGACGCCCCGGGTGTGGCCCCGCAGCACTTGGAGGACGGTGGGTGGGGCGGGCACCAGCTGGCACAGGGAGATGCTGCCATCCAGTGAGCAGCAGGCCAGGCGGTGCCGGTCGTCATTGGCAAAGCGCACCCTCGGGACTGCAATGGCAAGGAGCCATTTGTGGGAATCAGCACGCTCTCGCCATGTTTTGTATAAACAGCTCTGGCCTCAGCAAAGGGCTTTTCTTGGCAATCATAACCTCAGACGGCCCTCTGCCAAAATGCTCCCCAGATCTCAGCAGGCACTTTGAGGACTCCAAAAGTCTTCTGCAATGCACAAAGCTCCTGCTGTCTTAGCTAGCTAGCGCTTTACAGTTGCTAGGTCTCTCTGACACTGTATAGCCCACTATATCTGCCCTCTGTGGTGGGATTTCTCATCAGCAGAGGCTTTGAATCCTTCCAAGGGACTCACGAACCCAGGCAGCCTACTGCAAAGTGCTCCTCTGAGTTTCCAAGGAAGCCCTTTCCAGTACCTAAAGTACTGAGACTGCAGAGCATTTTGTAGGGGGCTTCTGGATTTGCCTAAGGCGCTGTGGGTGGTAAGTCTTCCTTCAGAGGCCTGCCAGTGGTCCTGCACTCTGAAAAGGACACCTTGGGCAGTTGTCTAGATAAATGTTTAGTGATAGGACCTGCTGCCAACCGGCTTACCTGCCTCATCCACGTGCTGATCAAAAACATGGTACATGCCAGCAAAGGCGTAGTTCTCACTCAGCGACGTGTCCCCGGCCATGGCTCGACTCGCCTCAGCTGCTGACGTGGGTACCACGCTGCCAGGAGGCCTTGGCCCGAAGCAGAGGGGTGACAGGAGACAGGTACAGGCATTCAGCCCACCATGCCCCCGGGTCCCTCTCAACAACTGCCACCCTTGTCTGTCTCTGTTGCATACCTGTCTTCGTAGACTGCACGGTTCATCTGGGCCTGCAGCTGGTAGGATCCACGGCTGACAGAACGGCGGTGCCCACGGGCCCCCAGGGCTCGAGGATCATCCTCAAAGTCCTGCAAGAGAGAGGCTCAGGGTGGGTGCAAATTAAAAATAGCTCCTGAGCCTGGTGTAGTGGTGCATGCCTGTAATCCCAGCACTCTGGAGGCTGAGACAGGAAGGTCACAGCAAGTTTGAGGCCAGCCTGGGCTACATAATGAATCCAATGCCAGCTGGAACTACACAGGGAGACCCTATCTCAAAAAAACCAGAAACAGGGCCGGGGATTTAGCTCAGTGGTGCTGCCGCCTGCCTTGCAAGCACAAGGGCCTGAGTTCGATCCCCAGTACAAAAAAAAAAAAACCCAAAACAAAAAACCAAAAACAGCTCCTGAGAACCTTTGAGATCTGGAGCCTTCAAAATATATCCAGAAGGGCTGGGGATTTAGCTCAGTGGTTTCGACGCCTGCTGCTCGAGGGCAAGGACCTGAGTTCGATCCCCGGTACCAAAAACAAAAACAAAAACAAAAATATATCCAGAACTTGATCCCTTCTCATCACACCTGTCCTCTGCCACCACCGTTATTGCTGACCTGCGCTGCTGCAGTGGCTTTTTCACTGGCCCCCCTACCCTTGCCCTGCTCCACACTTACTCAACACATACTGAGCACTTTGTTCACTGTACAAAGGATGAACACTCTCATCTAGAAAACTCTCAGCTGTCTTGAAATGGAAAAACACAAAAGACAAAGAGAGACTAACAGTCTCAAAGCTTGAGAGACACTGGCGGTCTCAAGGCTGACAGTCTCAAGGCTTTGCCCCTCCTGCTAGATCCACAAAGGTCACTGTGTCCGAAAGATAAACTGCTGAAACAACAGCAGCCTGAACCTCCCTATGTCTTAAAGATAAACTGTAAAAGCAACATTTGCCTCCACCTCCCTCCCTTTGCTAAGTTCCGCTTCTGTAAAATTCTGTTTTCCTGCCCTGACTAAAGAGCAAGATAAAAAGGAAAAGAAACTTAGAAACGGGGCTCAGACTGTGGAAGGTGACTTCCACTGGGCTCGCTAGCAAATATGCCTGCCTTTCCTTTCAACTCTGAGTGCCACTCTCTTCCTTGGTCTGCCTGCCGAGTGCCACATTAGTCTCACTTTATTCAGGTCTCGTACTCTGCAGAGCAGTGGCCTGACATCCCCATAGCTTCCCTCTGCCCCCACACTAGTCCTTTGTGTGTGTGGTACTAGGGATGGAACCCAGGACCTCACACATGCTAGGCAAGTGCCCTGCCACTGAGCTACATCCCTGCCACACACACAGGCTCCTTTCTCTCCCAACTCTGCTTTATTTTTCCATCTTAGCACTTCTCACTACCCAGCATGGTAGCTATCAATGTGGTTATTTGGCCGTTTCTCATGTTTAATGTCCTTTTTTTTTTTAGTACCGGGGATTGAACTCAGGACCTTGCGCTTGTGAGGCAGGTGGATTTAGCACCACTGAGCTAAATCCCTGGCCCTTGTCCTTTTTTTTGGTACCGGGGATCGAACTTAGGACCTTGCGCTTGCTATCCTTTTTTTTTTTTTTTTTTTGAGACAGGGTCTCGCTATGTAGTCCAGGCTGGCCTCAAACTTGTGGCAATCCTCCTGTCTCAGCCTCCCCAGTGCTGGGATTACAGGCATGCACAACCACGCCCAGTTTCCTCTTTTTTTGTTTTGTTTTTTGTCATGTTTATTGTCTGTCTGCTGACACAGTTGGTGTAGTATATCTTTTTGTCCTCTACTGACCCCCTGTGCCAGGAACAGTGGCTCGCCAGCACAGGTGCTTGAAACACTGGCACTGAATGTGTGGAGGCCTGCTGAGGCTGGCCATGCACGGCAGTGGGTGGTTGTGGTCAGGAGCTCACCTCCATGCGGTCCAGAGTGGTCCGGCTGCTTCGGATGATGCTGTTGCTATAGGCACGAGCACTGCCTGGCTCAGAGAGGGGCCCGTAACGCTGGCCCAGCAGTTGGCCTCGAAGCCTCAGGTACTGCCGCCGCAGTGCTGGGGGGTGCCCAGCCTTGGCATTCTCCCGCAGCAGCTGGCTGCGCCGGCGGATATACTGGGTCCGAAACTGTGGAAACGTTGGTGTGCGGTATGCGTTGTATCTGCAGATTCAGGAGGCAGGGTGGGCAGCAGGCACGGGACAGAAGAAATCAATCAGGTCCGGGCATAGGGTGAGAGAAATGAGGTGTGTGGCAGTGAGTGGAGTCAGGGTGGCAAGAGTGATTGATAGTAGTGTTGGGGGTTCCTTCTGGTGCTGTGATGGGTGTCATTCTGCAGTAATACCCGGAGTTATAATGTTAGTATGGAACAAGAGTCAGTCTGCAGCTCTTTTGGGGTCGGTATGGGATGGCAGTGCAAACAGTAACAAGGGTCAGTCTAGCATGGTGGTAGATATCAGACTGGCATGACTATGGAGGTCAGAGGTCAGTATGGGGCAATGGTGCAGGTTAGTATAGGTGGCAATGGGGTCAAACTGGGGTAGTGATGGTAGTAGGAAAAGGAGTGGGGAGCAATAGTAGGGGTAGGAAATTGCCAGGCTAAGCACCACCCTGCTCGACCAAAAGCAGCTTCTTTTGCGTTTGCCCACATCTGCCCGCATTTTCCCAGCATACTCTTCGGAACCCTCTCCAGCAGGGCCATATTTCTGCAGGTAAGACTCCACATCCTGCTGACCGCGCATGCTCATCTCCAGCCTGCCCACTCAGCACATTAGGGCAAGTTGTCTGCCCAGCCTCATTTATTGCCATTGCGCATGCACCACAGTAAGTTCCCCTCCCAAGGGCTCCGAACCCACGTCTCACCTCGCATCCACTGCTAAGACTTGCTGCCACACCGCGGCCATTCCCTGGCTTCCTCCTCCTCTGGCACTTCCGCCCGCGGAAGCCTGCAGGACAAGGGCTTGGAATGTCAGCGTCCCAAGCGAAGGGTTCCGCCCCTTCCACCAGGTGGTCGTTGCCATAGACACCAAATCCCTCCACGCCGGGAACGTGTGAAATCCCACCGGGTTGTTACCATGGTCATCACCCCAGCCCGGCCCTTCCAGGGCAGCGCCCGGGTGACTCACAGGAGCTATTCAGACCTGACCCACCCACTCCCTGATCACCATAGCAACGCTCCTCCCCCGCCTAGCAGTCCCAGTTTGACGTTCCCCACCCATCTTGCCCCCGCTGCCCTCCGCCTTCCGTTCTTGAGTCCAAGAGCATAGCCCAGGATCGAGGACCACCTCCGGGGCTGCCTCTGGCTCTTGAGGCCTCCGGGGCGGCCCTGAGACCAGTGTCTCCTGTTCCTTCCGTCTCTTCTCCCTTTCTCAGGCTCCAGGCAAGATGGCCGCCTGCTGCCAGAACGCGCTGCAGAGCGGAGTGAATCGATAGAATACTTCCCAGGGCTTGGGAATCTCGCAGGCGCAGGGACAGTTAGCTTCCGGCACATGGATGGAGGCTCCACCCCTTGAGTTCTACCCACTCCATTGTGACACTTTTTGTATTCGTAGGGATAATGTTCAGGGATCATAGTATCCAGGGATAGGGATGAAGTCTCCAAATCACTTACTAGAAATCACAGATACAATTTTCTTGCGAAAAAGTGTAGACTTGGGCCGGGGATTTAGTTCACTGACACCGTGGCTGCATCGCAAGTGCAAGGTCCTGAGTTCGATCCCCGGTAACGCAAAAAAAAAAAAAAGTAGATTGCTTAATCTTCGCAAAGCTAAACTTGAACAGAATAAAACTTAAGCAAAAAAAGAGGGCTGGGGATTTAGCTCAGTGGTTCCACTGCCTGCCTTGCAAGCGCAAGGTCCTGAGTTCAATCCCTGGTACCAAAAAATAAAATAAAATTTAATACTATGAAGCAGTGCATGGTGGGGCACACCTGTAACTCCAACACTCCGGAGGCTGAGGCAGGAGGATCACTATGAGTTTTGAGGCCAGTCTGGGTTACATAGTGAGCCCGTCTCAAAAAAACAAAATAAATTTAACCGCACATGCAGACACCCCTAGAAGGTTCTGTAGTGTTTTTTGTTTGCTTTGTTGTTTTGAGACAGGGTCTCGCTATGTAGTCCAGACTGGCCTTGTACTCACCATGTAGCCCACCCTGGCATGAACTCTCAGTGATCCTCCTACCTCAGCTTCCCACCAAAGGTGTTTGCCACCATGCCCAGCTGGTTCTCTAGTTTTTAGAGTGACTGATTGGCCATTGGACAGCTCTGTGATGAGAAGAGTCCATATGCAGGAATGGACTGGAGGTGGTTGGACTTGCACGTCTCCAGGAAACCAAGGATTGAGTGTTTGGAGGCAGAAGACATAATCAAACGGCTTTGGGGCTTGCATCCTAGGAAGCTATCCAAATCATCTTTATTTCAATTCCAACTGGAAGCTGCATCTCAAATAGAATAAACAGAATTTACAAGGTTGAAATTCAAGGTGTAATAGCTTCCTCTTATATTCTTACTGCTAGAATTCTTTTGTTGTTGTTTTGACAATATTCTTATATTTCATTTTCAAAAATTATTTTTAAAAACTCTTTTTTGTTTTGTTTTGTTTGAGACAGGATCTCACTATGTAGCCCAGGCTGGCCTCAAACTCCTGGCAATCCTGTGTCAGCCTCCTGAGTGCTAAGATCACAGGCATGGATTACCACACCTGGCCTAAAACCTCTTATAAGGCTATAAGATATCAGCACAATCTAACAATAAGGTTGTTTTAATTATGAATTAGTCATTGATGCACCAGCTGCTGTGTGGACATGTTTACTACTCCAAGAAGTGGTACATTTCACAAGATAGTGTGATTTGGACACTGGCAGAGGCTCTGACAACCATGAGCTGTATAGTCTCAAACAAGTCATATAACCTGTCTGTGACTCAGTCTATCTAGACTCATTCTTCCTTCTATTTTTTAGGAGACAGGCTCTCTTTATGTAGTCCAGGCCAGTCTTTAGCTCTCTATGTAGCCCAGGTTGGCCTCGAGCTCAAAAGCCTCCTACTCAGCCTCCCAAGGGCCCAGACCCCGGCGTGCGCTACCATGCCTGGCTCACCCTTCCTTCTTGTACATCCTGCCTGTTTGGCCTCCCAGAATTTAGAAATGCAAAGGAAGAGCTGGGAACGTAGCTCAGTGGCACAGCTCTGCCTGGCAAGTGTGAGTCCCTGAGTTTTGATTCCCGGTACCAAAGGAAAAAAAAAAAAACAAAGGAAAGCACTGGACCACATTGGCCGTCTGCTTTTCATGACTAGCACAAGCTGACTTGAAATCTGAAGTTGGAGCCCTAATTTCAGGGGACAAAGTGGGACATGAGGGAAAGGCTAGGTGTCTGTGGAGAACCAAGTTTAGTAAAATGGGTGGAGCCACAGGGCTGAGCTGTCACTGGGGTAGAGACACTGCATCCTCATTCACTTATCTCTGGAGTTTCCCCCGAAATGGGGCAGGTGCAAGTTAGGATGTGGGGTCCTGATTCAGAGTTCAGCATCTCCTGATGGGAAAATGCTTGCCTTTGAAGCCAAAGCTCTCATAATCTCGAGGTCTACATGGTGAAAACCATTCATAGTCTCAGTCAGAACCAAGATTCCTGCAGATGGGCAAAACCTCAAAGGACCATTGCATGTGGAAATAAGGAGCCAGCCTTCGAGGAGGGATTTCGTCAGCCACTTCTGGGCGCAAGCAGTAACTCAGATGAAATGGTCTCTGTTCTCATGGAGCTGCCATGCTGGCTGTCAAGATCAATCAAAATAATTTCAGATGCTGTACTTAGTGTTGCAAAACTTGGCGGAGGGGTGAGAAATTTGAGATGGAACTGGAATAAAGAGGAAGCAGAGGGCCGAGGGTGTGGGTCAGCGGTAAGGTGCTTGCCTAGTGCGTAAGAGGGCCTGGGTCCATCCGCAATAGGGAAAGAAACTGAAGGAGTGAAGGAAGGGGAAGGGGAGAAGAAAGGAAGAAGCCAGATATATGAAAAGCTCTACATTGCTGAGTGTGAAAGAATAAAGTGGCTGGGTGTGGCCACACACCTACAATTCTAGCACTCAGGAAGCTGAGGCAAGAGCATCAAGAGTTCAGGCTAGCCTGGATGACATAGTGAGATCCTGTTTCAAAAAAAAAAAAAATGGCACAGCGGCACACATTTATAATCCCAGCTCCTTGGGAGGCTAAGGCAGGGGGATTGAAAGTTTGAGCCCAGCTTGGACATTTAGCAAGATCCTGACTCAAAATAAAAAACTGAAAAGGCTGGAATGTAGTTCAGTGTGAAGGCCTTGGGTTCAATCCCCAGTACAGAGAGAGAGAGAGAGAAAGTGAGCCAGCCTGGTGGTGCACGCCTGTAATCCCAGCACTTGGGAGGCTGAGGTAGGAGGATTGCCAGGAGTTCAAGGCCAGCCCAGGCTACATAGTGAATTCAGAGCCAGCCTGAACTACAAAGCGAGACCCTGTCTCAAAATAAATAAATAAATAAATAAATAAATAAATAAAATAAAACAAAACAAAGAAAGAAAGAAAGAAAAGAAAAGGGTAGAAGATGAGCCTCTGAGTGACTGGCTCAGAGCAGAGAAATCACTTTATGGGGTAGGACCTTGGCCATGCTCAAACTCAATTCATTGGGTAAGGAATTCGGGCCCACACTGTGGGGATGGGAAAGACCAGGCCCAGGGTTGGATCAATCACCAGCAATTTTACACAAAATGAGTACAGGCCTTGATACTTTTCTCATTTTTCTGTTAGTACACCGAACCACATCTCACATTTATAGGCTGTGGTGACAGCTTGCATTTACTGAACACTTACTACATTGATCTTATGTAACTGTTACAATCCTAAGAAGGCAAGTATGACAATCCTTTTGGAAAAGTTATGTTTATAGCAGCACAATTCATAATAGCTTAATCTTGGAAGTGGCCTATATGTTCATTAACAGATGATTAGATAAAGAAAGAGTGGTATTAAAAAAAAAGAGTGGTATTTACACACAATGGAGCACTACTCTGCCACACAGGATGAACTTGTTTTGCAGCAAAATGGATGCACCTTCAGAGCATAATGTTAAATAACTCACACACACAAGCTTAAGTATTACATGGTATCTCATATGAAAAACCCAAAATATAAAGAGCAAAATAAAAGACAGACAATAGGAAGTATGTGAAAGAGCTCAAGAGATGGAGGGAAAGGGGAGGGAAGGGAGAGAAAGGGGATGGAAAAAGGAATTCAGATGTGTTATCGGGCCAGAGATTTAGCTCAGTGGCACTGCGCCTGCTTTGCAAGTGCAAGGTCCTGAGTTTGATCCTCAGGACTACCCCCCTGCAAAAAAACAAAGAAGTTTAACCAGACTGTTTCTTATCCTGGACACCAGAAACCACCATTCCCTGGTAACCATCCAGCAGTACTGACAACATTGCTCTGTCTCCCCTCTGTACATCCCTGGAATTAAATCCTAAATCTAGCTGGGCATGGTGGCACATACCTGTGCCATCTGCACAGAGGAAGCTGAGGCAGGAGGATTGCCGAGAGTGTAGCTCAGTATACAGTACTTGTCTAGCATGTGCAAGGACCTGGGTTCAATCAATCAGTCAAATCACCCTATAAACTTAGTTGGCCCTATACACTAACAATGAATTGTCTGGAAAGCAAATTAAGGAAATAATTCCAGTGCTGGGGGTGCAGCTCAGTGGCAGAGTACATGCTGAACATGTGTGAAGGAGGCCCTGTGATCCATCACCAGCAACCTCCCCTGCTCAACAGAACAGAAAACAATTCAGTTTACAATAGCATTAAAAAGGGGGGGGGCTGGGGATTTAGCTCAGTGGTTCCGGCACATGCCTTGCAAGCCCAAGGTCCTGAGTTCAATCCCCGGTACCAAAAATAAAATAAAATAAAATAAACTCACCTACTAGGTGTGAGACCCTGGGTTTGACCCCCAGCACCACAGATAAATAAGATAGAATACATAAAAACTGGACTCAGCCAAGGAGTGAAAAACTTGTACATTGACAATTACATAACACTGATGAGTGAGATTAAAGGAGACGCAAGTGAATGTAAAGACATTCTGTGTTCATGGACTGGAAGACTTTATATTGTTAAACTATCCATACCACCAAAGCAATCTAAAGGCTCAATGCAATGCCTATCAAGAACCTGATAGAACTTTTTACAGAAATAGGAAAAAATTTAAACATTTCTATAGATCTACATAAAAACTTGAATAGCCAAATTATTAGAGAAAAAACAAAGTTGGAGGCACCACACTTGCTGATTTTAAATTGATTACAAAGCTTATAGTAGCCAGGCATGGTGGCACACACCTGTAATCCCAGGACTTCAGAGGCTGAGACAGGAGGATTGCTGAGTT